ATGTTCTGACACCCCCCCTGAATGACAGCCACTAGAGTGAAATGACAGTCCCTGGGAGGAGCAGAAGCATTCTGGGATTGGAATGAGGGCCCCCAGAATAGAATTCCATTTCCAGAATGCTGCTACTACTCCCAGGGGCTGTCATTCCATTTTGTGCCCTGTCATTCCAGTCCCAGAACACAGATTCTATTGCTAGGGACTGTCATTCTACTCTCGGGTCCATCATTCCAGTCCCAGAGCACTATTTCTATTGCCGGAAACTATCCTAGAGTATTTTGCAAAAAAACTTTCAAAAAACTTGGAAGAGATTCTATGATTGATATAATGTAAACACAACTGATGGATAAATGTAATTTGAGAACGCAGAAAAGATAAGCTTAGTAAAATAGATAATGAATTTAGAAATTTAATAAGCAGAAGGAGTGATAAAAGTCTCTTGTTATATGTTATATGTTGTTAGGGGTAGTTATGTGTTTGTATGTATGTCTGTGGTATATAATGAAAAAATAATAATAATAATGTACCTTCGGGTACTTTAAAAACAAACAAACAAACAAAAAAAACAATCCCAGAGTAGTCTATCTGGGTGTAGAGACCTTAATGGAAAAATCCATTCTGTATAGCTGGGAACTTTGGCAGCCTTGAGCTTCAAAGGGTGAGGACAGGATGGGGAGGAGGGGGGAAGAAAAGAGCTGTGAGCCTGATTAAAGCCATGGGCAGGATGCTTCTGGCCTGCGGGCCTTAAGTTTGATACCCCTGCTCTACGGCACTGCCCTAAGTTGGCTGCAACTTGATGTGATTTACTAGGTGATGGGCCTGATTAAAGCCATGGGCAGGATGCTTCTGGCCTGCGGGCCTTAAGTTTGATACCCCTGCTCTACGGCACTGCCCTAAGTTGGCTGCAACTTGATGTGATTTACTAGGTGATGTGATTTACTTTCATGCCAAGAAAAGCTTCACCTGCTCATTTCTATACATGCAACCTCTTTTCTGCGGGCTTGTTGGCAACCCTCTATATATCTATTTCTCAACAATTCCCTCTGCTTGTGGATAATTATTTCCATGAACAGGTTTTTCTACAGACTCAGGGGACTCTGTGGGTCTCCAGAAAAATCCAAGAAGTTAAAAAAAAACCTGGGAAGGGTTGAATCCCTCCCCCAACCTTTTGAAATGGCTGCCACAGGGATCTACTCCAGGCCCCGCCACATTGACAGTGAGAGAGACTGGCTGATAGCCAGAGACAGAGAGAGATAATGAGTGGGGGAATAGGGGAGGAAGCAAAAGAAGAACTGGAGACTGGGGAGGATTCTTCCTGCAGTGTGAATGGCTAAATAGCACATGGATGTTTTAAAAGGACATCTGAGCTTCTCACCCCTACCTCTTTTGCTGCGGGTGGGGCCTGAGCTTCTCCCCCCTTCCTCTTTTGTTGCGGGCTCCCCTGTCCTCTTAAAACTTTCTCGGGGGGGGGGGCTTCTAACTGCCAGCTTGAGAAAGACTGACTGGCTGAGAGCGAGAGAGGCACAGAGAGAGAGAAAGAGAGAGAGAGAATGGGTGGGGGAAGAGGGGAGGAAGCAACAGGAGAACTGGACCTGGGATTAGGGAGGATTCCTTGCTGCCACTCACCCATCTCCAGTACTGTTTTTCCTCCACCATGAATGGCTAAATAGCAGGAGGAAGTTTTAAAAGTATATCTTAGCTTGCAACTGCAAAGTCTTGAAAACAGGAAGAAAGGATCATTCTCACCCCAATCTCTGTAGCTGTAGGCTCTGCTGTCCTTTAAAACCATTCTTTACAGATTCTAACTGCTTCTCTCCCCCACCACCACCAGCTTGGGCACTGCTTCGTCCCACTGCTTCTCTCTTCTGACTGACTAGAAGCCAGAGGGAAGTTATAAAAGGACAGCTGAGTTGTCATTAATAGATGGATGGGCACAGTGACTGAGAGGTAAGGGACAGGTGGAGAGGAGGCAAGATTTCCTCCAACCGGTGTCAGTTTGTACACACCACCTTTTAAAACATTCCTTAGTAACCCTAACAGACAAATAAACTGCCAAAGACAGCTGCGGTGCTGTGGGTGAACGTGGACTCGTCTCTGGCTGAAGAAGACTGGAGCCCTGCAAGCACACAATTCTCCACGTCAAGATGAGAGACTGAACAAGCAAAGGTGCCTCAGGCTGATCCATTGATAAACCAATGGCCATTTAAACAGCTGCTTTTGGCAAGGGCACTCAGAAGGAGACTGGTACAGGACACCTGTAGCACCTCAAGACCTGCAGTGCCCAGTATGGCAATCTTTGAAATCTCACCTCACATAAACAAAGTGATTGTAATTCTCAGGCAAACTCCTCTTTGAAGCCAACTTCAGTCAGCTGGCTGACTATGCACAAGGGAACTGAGCAAGGCTAGATGGCTCTCTTTCCAGTGTTCAACAAAGAAAAAGTAAAGGGGGGGGAGGGGAAACGGTGTCAGTTTGTACACACCACCTTTTAAAACATTCCTTAGTAACCCTAACAGACAAATAAACTGCCAAAGACAGCTGCGGTGCTGTGGGTGAACGTGGACTCGTCTCTGGCTGAAGAAGACTGGAGCCCTGCAAGCACACAATTCTCCACGTCAAGATGAGAGACTGAACAAGCAAAGGTGCCTCAGGCTGATCCATTGATAAACCAATGGCCATTTAAACAGCTGCTTTTGGCAAGGGCACTCAGAAGGAGACTGGTACAGGACA